AGCCGAAGCAAAACTAAAGTAAAACAGGAAGTGTGATAACTAAACAGGGAAAAATCAAGAATTAAACTCTAAGCATTAAACAAACTCGGATTCCTATAGGAAATTTAAACGACCCAACGAGAAGGCCCAAAAACTCAAAAACACTGGATGAACTGACAGCTAAGGCTCTCCCAGAAACGTCCACACTTCCTAAAAATAAGTCTGACTCAATTACAACAAACCCCACAGAGTCTGAGTCTGCTGGGTTAATTCCACAGAGGGAGTGAAGAAATGAAGGTGAAAAGAAATTAAAGGGGAAAGGAGCTCAGAGTGCAACAGTGGAGATGGAAACATGCAGAAAATGAATGAGTTCAAGAAAACACTGAATGATATAAAACTGATTCTGAGGCAGCCAAGTATTCATCTCATCATTATCTTGTAATAATATTAAATTAATATAAAGAAACATAAGTAACCACCAACATGTCTTCAGTCTGGTCCAGACTGCAGGTTTTAAACGCTGAAGCCGCATCAGTCATGAGCTGCCTGTAATGTCTGGAGAGAGACTTAACGTGGGTCGATGCCACATCTCCAACACGCCAAGGTCACGAGATGGAACTTGGAGAGAGAACCTGCTGCTCTGAGTCTGTGTCACATTCAGCTCTACAGTAAAACCACAATTACTGTGAGTTTTAAGGAGGAAGAGCACCGAATTATCAAAGATAACAAAACGTCTGGCCTTAAAAGTCAAACAGCAGTCACTGATTATTGATCCAGTCAGCCAAGCACACCCACCAAGCTTGTCTGCAACACCTCAGAGTTTCTGAAAGTCTCAGTGAGAAACTCTGATGGTCTGATTTTAAACTGCTGACAGTGGTTTTCTGCACTTTGTCAAACAGTTTCATTCGCTGAGGGTGAAACTCATTAAAACTCATTAAAAGGTTAAGAGCGCCTCTTCCACGCCTCTCCGCTGCAGTCCTGCCAAGCTTTTTCTCATCCTCAGAGTTTCCTTCATTTCTCGGACATTATCTAACACTCATCAATGCTGTGCCACAAATCAGCTTAAAGCGGCTACATTCATGCACACAAGGCTCCAGAGGCTCTTTGTCTGCAGTTCCAGATAAATGGCACATTCACATGCAGTCATTTTACAGTAGTTTAATCTAATGACGTCTGCTCCCACAGAACATCATCGCTGAACATCGCAGGCTAATTAGATGACTCACTAATATTTTCCCACACTGAGAAAGTGTGCAATGCGTTTTCAGATTCATTCAGCTGCTGCACACTAATCAGGTTACATTGGAGAGCTGCACCTCATCCGTGCGATCACAGTCAGAGCACAGAGTCCTGCAGCAGCCGGCGGACCGATCCGCCCTAAAAGTGGAGATGACCGCGAGGCGATAGACGGCTGTCAGGGTTCTTACAGGGGTGTGAGGACATTGAAGCCAAAGTCTGAGAGAGCTCGCATGCTTTAAATCAATCAGCACATCTGGCAGTTTTCATCTCCTGTGAATCACATTTAAAAAGTTCAGTGTGTGGTTTTTCTGCCAGCTTCAACCGTGAGTGTGATGGATTCAATCTGACTGTGCGACCTTACCTCTGAAATATCGACCAAGCATGAAACAGAACATGTTTAATAACGTGCTACACCTTCCGCTCAGCCTGCTGGCGTTATATGCTCCGTAAAACTATCAGCGGTAACAGGTGCTTTCATTTTAACCTCCTCATTTTTCATTTGACACTAAAAACTGCTTCAAATTTGAATCATTGAGTTTAACAGTTTCACGCAGTGCCGTGAAGGACCAGAGTGGCACTGCTGGTGTCACACTGTAGCTCTGTGATTTTGGCCCCCGTGATTCTCCTACCTGTCAGCGCTGAGCGCAGTGAGCGTGAACACCGACACCCCGACCGAGGTGAGCTGGATGACGGGGATGAGTTTGCACGCCGCCTCTCCGAACACCCACTCCTCGGAGAAGTAGCGGAAGGCGTCCACGGGCACGCAGGTGACCAGCAGCAGCAGGTCTCCCGCCGCCAGGCTGGAGATGAAGATGTTGGGCACGCTCCTCATGGCGCTGTTCGTGATGAAGATCTTCACCAGCGTGATGTTGCCCAGCAGACCCACGACGATGATCAGAATATACACGGAGGTCATCACGCAGCGCACCACGAAGTGTACGGTCTCCGCGCCGTCCGCAGACGACCACGGGCCGGGTACCTCCGTGGAGTTGGGGCTCAGAGCCTCCGCGGGAAGGTTCGAGAGGAACTCGTCATCCATGAGTGCGCACGGAGGAGCACTCCACGCCAGGGTCGACCGCTTTTGCGCAAAGGGAAGCTCGCGCGTAAAGCCGCAGAGACAGCAGGGGTGCGTGTGTGACGGTGTTGGGGTGTGTGGGCGTAGGGGGGTCCACACCGGCACCAACGACCAGAGAGACGGAAAAGTTTTCCAATAGCTGCTCCTCCGAGAAGCTTCTGAAGGCAGAGAGGAAGCTGACGCGCGTAAAGAAGGGGGAGGCACCGCTGTCTCTCCCCCCCCTCTCACACCCGCAGTCGGGGGGGCAAAGTTTGAGGTGAGACCCGGGCTCATGTTTTAATCTTCCATTATCATTTTTATCATTTTAGCGGGTTTTTTACGTTTGAAATTTTCCCCCCAAGGATTTCTTCCTGAAATTTGAGTTTGATCTTTTTATTTCTACTAAGTTGATCTGGAATTTAAATGAAATCCATGAGTGCAGACAGCCTCAGATTTCACTCAAACGGAATCATTTTAATATTTTAGTTTTTAAGCCTGTTTTTAATTCACCTCAGTAAAAATATCCCTTCATATTAATCTCGTTTGTTTTGATTTCATAAGAATCTCAGCTCAGAGCAGGTTTATTTCACCGAGCTGCCAGGCTGGAAAAGACCAAACTGAAACATGTTTTATATTCAGTCCAGTTTTTATCTTTGCTTCATTTAAATGTTTCTCGCACCCAGTTTGAGCTTTTTGATGATAGCCTCAGTTCTTTTTCCATTTTTCTCACAAAGAAAAAGAAACAGTAAAGCAGTGAACATGTCACAGATTTAGAACAATGTATATCCGGTGGTTACACCGACTTTAGTTTCTCGTCCACCTCTTCTCTCCTCTTTCATCCCGTCATCACTTCGGTTTTATTCATCATCAATTGTCCATTTTCCTATTCCTTGTTTCAGCCTTCCTCCATCTATGCTGGGGTCACTTCATCCTCTCGGTGATTGCAGGAGGGGAGATTCAGAGTTCAGATTTTTGTTTTTTCATTCCAGATTTGATTCCTTCTTTGAATTTCCCTCCAGCAGAACCTGCAGCTCGGTTGAGAAGTGCCTGCGGTGAATTTGAGAGAGGAGTGATGAATCACTCTGCCTGTTGATGCTGTTTATGATCTTATTTGTTCATTTGCTTTCAGAGTCATGTTCCCACTGACAACAGATCAAAAGCCGCATATAAGCGACGAACGAGGTTAACAAACATCCGGGTATGTTGTACCTTATCTTTGGCAAAAACCTACATCCAGTCTTTATGTAAAGAAAGAAGGAAACGCAGCCTGTCTTCCTGTGGGTGGAAGCGTATACAGCATCACTGAACTATGTCAGAGCATCGGCGTCATCTATAATCGTGTCAAAAGCATTTTGTGTTTTTAGGTGTAAAACGTTTGACATCGGACCTATGCTGCATATTTTTAAAAAAGAAAGCTGTGTTCTACCTGTGCTCGTGCACAGGCAGAACAGAGCTCTGAGGTCAGCTCGTCTCCAGAAGTGCTTTAAAAAGTTGAAAGCTGGCGGAAGAACAAACAGCAGATCTGTGTATCAGGAGATATTCCCTGAACATGACCCGTGACTTCTTTAAGTTTTTTCCATCCTTCCTGCCGCTTTTCTAACTTCTGTCCTGGAGCTGCGAGGTTGCAGCTGAAGGCTGCCGTCTCTGCGTTCCATCATTCAAATGGACAAATTCACTTTAAAATTCGCTCTCGGCGGCTGAGCGTAGCTTTGTCTGTCACAGCCACAGATGGCCGAGTCAGAAGTGCTGCAGAGTCATTTGATCCGATGTGATTTTCTTTAAAAGAGCCAATCTGTCGTCTGATCGCTTTCATGTCAGGTTCGCATAATTACAAACTACGCGTGGGTGTAATTAGAACCCAGCCTTTTATCGACTGACTTATTTTCCTCTGAGATCACTTTTAAGAGCAGAAACTGTTAAAGATGCAGGTCATTCCTCCTCAGCTCTCTGTAGCTGTTACAAAAACGCAGCCAGCAGCACCTTCAGTCAAGCGGCGTCCCATCATTATTATTATTATTATTACTGTGATTGCAATGGAGGCATCATTTTGGGCTTCATTTTCCAGGGGTTCAAATTTCTGGGACCTTGCTGACCTGGTGACCTGATGAGCTTCTAGAATGACTCTTATCAGCTGAGAGCACACCTGGTGATGTCAGCCTGGTGCTTAACCTTTCGATGTTTAATCAGGAAGAGATTCTCTGAGTAAAATTATCTCTGTTCCCAACAGTCATCCAGGAATTATCTGTTCGTCTTCGCAAAAACACGGCAGCTGTAACCAAACACCTCTGGACTGAAGCTAAAGCGCCCAGATCTCAGCAGGTCCCAGTTCCACAGTGAAGGCTGTGAGCGACGAGGTCAGCGGCTGATGCGGACGCGCGTCTGCTGTTAGAACTCTGGAAAGCACTGAAAGCGGGCTGTCAGTCGTTCTGACAAACTTCTCTGCTGCAGAGGAAACCTGCAGTCTGCTGCCACAGTCGACTGTGGACGGGTTTCTCTCTTCCCCTCAGAGCGATGGTTCAGCATTACATCTCACTCTCTGCTCCCACAAACATCATTACACGATCTGTGCTTTGTGAATCAACGCCCCTAACCTCAAAAACCATGTAAATGTTTGAGTTAATCACGCCATCGATTCTTGTTACATTCAGTTTCATCTCAGCATCCGTCCACTCTACATTTATTATTATGATGATGATGATTATCATTATTATTTGACCAGGATGTCCCACTGAATCTCTAAGAATAGAGACCTGACCAATGTAACACTGCAAACACACAATATCAGCTGCATGACTGACAACGTGATATACACCACACACCTACAACATGAAACACCGTGACCTCCCAAGAAACACATCCACACCCCCTTCACTGCGTTCCTGCTTTTTCTTTCAGCAGTAGGCCGACAAACATATCAGCGCTACTCATAAAGAGGACGATATTGAGTGAGAGACTTTGCATTTGGAATAAAACATGGAGACGCAGGAGGTATTAAAACTGAAGAGGCACACCACCATCATCACAGGCAAAAAAGTGGCTTCAGCAGAATAAAAGTAAAGCTACATTTTTTATTCCATTTATTCTTATGAAACATTTTCCTTCACATAATTTTTGTGTTGTTTTTGTGGTTCTGGAGAAAAGAAAGAAGAATCCACTAAAGTCCATTGTCAGTTTTTATTGGGAAACAAAGTCTGAGTCGAACGTTTGGAGTTAAAACAAATAAATATTATTAACAATATTAATATCTTATTTCATGGTACATTAATTACTGGAGGTTTATTAAAATCTCTCAAATCTTTTAAACGTTTATATACAGAGCTTTTTTTTTCATTATTAGAATGTTTGTATTGCGCATGCCCGGTACCAACAGTGGCTCACGCGCTTTTACGCACGGCGTCCTCCTCCAGGTATCACACCTGGCTGTGGAAAACTCACATAGTTAGGACGGGTAACGCCGGATACTCCAAGAACGGACCTTCAAATTAAAAGCACAACATCGCCAAAAAGACAATGTGGCATTAAAAAGTCTCCAAATATTTATTTAGCCTTTTTAAGCTTCACTCTTTGTGTATAAAGAAGAGCTTAGTTTGATTCTTTTTAATGTATTTTAGATTTTTTTTTAATCATGCTAAATATAGTTTTTATTTATAAAGCATTGCTCTTTAGCTCTTTCTTTCTATTTTTGGTTTTTATTTTACTTATTTAGAATTTTTTTCTGTAAAGATTTTTTCTTTTTATATTTGCCCGTTTTTATTTAATGATGTATTTCAGACATGTTCAAGTGTTTTATGAGGTTCTTGTGGTTTTATTTTTCATATACTCGCTCTGAATCGCAGTTATTTCACTCATATTTCTGACTAATCCTCAGGTGTTTGTTAATCCCTCTGTTCCCTCCGTGCACCTCTGGATGTGTTCAGAGCTGGGACCGGAAGTCGCGCAGGGTTATCCGTGTGGCTTGACTGCGCTCTCTGTCCCGCAAAATCCCGCAGCTGGCATGAGTTTAGGATCCGTGAGTGGAAAAAAGAGGGGGGAATGAACAACACGCCGCCAGGATTACGGTTGGTGTGTGGACTTTTATTTCACTTTGTCCGCTTTTGGTTTTGGGGGATTTGAACTTTGATCGGGTTTCTTTCTGTGTGGCTCGCTCGTGGCTCTTCATCGGACTGTATTTGGGACCACAGCCGCCCCGTGAATGCTCTTCCACAAGTATTTACAGTGCAGGGTGTGTTGTCATCACTCTTGTTTTCGACAAAATGTTTTCTCAGAGCTGATTAATCATGTGTCCATTTCAACTTTATGAAACCAAAAATGATGCTTTAGTTAAGTTCTATAAAGTCCATAATTCTATTTAATCTCATTAATACAACAGCCTGTGTGTGAAAATGTTACAGCTCAGTGGGTTTTCAAAATAAAGTTCCAGATCGTGAGCATGACCGTTAGAAAGTGTAAGTTCTGAGGTCCCGTGGAGCTCCCGGGTTCTTTAGCGCACTGTGTGCTTTGTATTTAGTTGCGTGTTTGCCATCTCTCTCTGCATTGTGTTGAACAGGGGAGTGTTTTTCGCTGACATAGTTCTGTAGGGATTATAATGCAGGGAGCACATGCCCTCATGGCCCATTGTTGGCCCCTCTGTCTCTGTTGTCTCTCTTTCTACTGAGCGAGTCAATTGATGGAGGGATAAAAGGCCAAAAATATGCACTGACATGGCTTTCAAGAGAGAGAGAGAGAGCGGGGCAGAGGCAGAGGGTCAGTGGCAGATTTGGTAGACCTACTGTTGGTGGCCTGTACCCAGAGCCGGCAGCAGACAGGCCATGAGGGCCCAGAGCAGTCCTACAATTAAACGGGGAACACCGAGAAGCAAGCCATGTCTTTAAATTACATCAAAAACTTCTACGAAGGATGCGTAAGTACACCACTCAGACTTATTGGAAGGCTCTTCCTGTAACCGGAGCCTGCCTCACCGAAGCTTTGACAGTTAGAGAGAAGCAGTGCTTAACACACGTCCCTCCCGTGGCTTAAAATGAAAAGACATTAAAAAAAAAAATAAAGTCAATCTTCATTTTGCTTCAGTCTTTATGTAGCTGAGCAACATATTTGTGAGCCAAGAGGCTCTCTGCTTTGTGTGAGTGCCATTTGGACCCTTTTCTGATAAACATGAGATGGGAAATGTTTCCTCTCAGTGGGTTTTGTTTTAGCCTTCAGAGCTCAGGGCCTCCAAAGCAGCTGCTTTTATCTGGCTGACAAAAGATGTTTTTCCTCTTTATATGTGTGTGTGTGTGTGTGTGTGTTCCAGCTCAGGCCTCCTACAGTGATAGGCCAGTTCCACACCTTGTTCTTCGGCTCCGTGCGGATGTTCTTCCTGGGCGTCCTTGGATTCGCCGTCTATGGGAATGAGGCGCTGCACTTCAGCTGCGACCCTGACCGCCGAGAACTCAACCTTTACTGCTACAACCAGTTTAGGCCCATAACACCGCAGGTAGGAGGAGTCATCCAAACTTTCATCCCTCTGATGTCACAAACCAAAGCAGAATGAGCTTTTAGAGGTGCCATCAGCTTTTATTAACACGAAGTAAATGCTACAAAACATCCGAACAATTCTAAATATCCCAAAATGTCTGTAAATGTTGACCACCATTACAGATCATATTGAGTTTGAGTTCTGAGAAATCGCATGTGTACAATGAAGAAAAGCAGTTGTGAATTATCAGTTTGGATAAATTCTGTTGAAGAATACAGTGTCATGCATGAATCAGGGAAGTTTCCAATATTCCAGCTGAGGCATGTTTGGGGACAGATGGTGATGTGTCCAATCCAATAAAAAGCATTTGCAGTCAGAAAACGGTCGCAGGTGGTTATCAGCATGAACAGCTTTTTTCCGTATTGGTGGAAAAGTCAATTTGGGAAAGAACATTTCAGCAAACATTGAACTGCAAATGACCAGATTCCCGCCTGCTGCTTTTCCAGAGACACAAATCCTATATTTCACTGATTTCCACCATCTGGAAGGCCAATTTAAAAGCAGTGTCTGAAGTCATGCACAATAAATGGACTTGTGTTCTTTTTACTTTGTTCTTGAACTTTCTATCCCTATTTAACCTTTTTCTCCTTCCCCCGATTTTCATCCTTGACTTGCTGCTCTTGTTGAAGTCCTCTTCCTGCTTCAATCCATCAACTTTACTTCCATGAGCTTTTCTCACTTCCCCTGCGTTGTTCCTCCCCTCTTCAGGTCTTCTGGGCATTACAGCTGGTAACAGTCCTGGTTCCTGGAGCAGTATTCCACCTTTATGCCGCCTGTAAGAACATAGACCAGGAGGAGATCCTCGAGCGACCCATCTACACAGTCTTCTACATCATTTCTGTTCTCCTGCGCATCATTTTGGAAGTCATCGCCTTCTGGCTACAAAGTCATCTCTTTGGCTTTCAGGTCAGTCGGTGAGAAATGTGACACGATAAATATTTTTATTCATATGTTCACCCATATTCACACCAAAGGATGGCAACAATGAGAACTGTGACTGTGTCTGGAATATAGTTTTTTTTTAAACATTTTATTTTGTATTAATACCCAATTTTAATAGTTAACTGTTTAGAATGAAGATTTAAATTTATTATACACACCTACAATGTAAACAAACCTATTAGTCCATCTGACATAAAAATATTTAAACATCTGTTCAAAACAAATTCAGAAATGTAAAAATTATATTATTTATTGGGGAAATAATAAACTCGATTCACATTTGATATCCAAATTTAAACCAGCACACTGGACTCTTCTGAGAAGTCAGAAATGAATCAAACATGACATGCAAACACTACAATTAATTTTTCTCTTCAGGAATGTAGGTTTATTTATCATGTTTGTCTTCTGATAGAAAACAAATAATTTACATGTAAAGTAAAGTAAAGTAAAGTGTGCGTGTTAGTCCCCATAGGGAAATGGTTCCTCTGCATTTAACCCATTCACCCAGTGAAGCAGTAGTGAATAGGAACCTTTAAACCTGACAGAAAAAGTGATTTGATTTATATTGTGATAGATGATGATATCCACTGATATGAGAAAAGATATTGGAGCCTATCCCAGCTGTCATAGGGCACACCCGAGGCAGGGCACACCCGAGGCAGGGCACACCCGAGGCAGGGCACACCCGAGGCAGGGCAGCAGACAGACAACCATTCACATTCATGGACTAGATGATGGAATCGAACTTGGGATCTTCTTGATGTGAGGCTACTGACCGCCCCACCATGCAAATATAATTGGTATATAAATGTCATTATTATGATGGCAGAAAGGTCAGATTTTGCAACCTGGTAAATTTACCTTTATTACAGTACAAGATAAGTCTCTTTAGGCATGACGTACCAGGGAAGTTTGCCGCTTTACTTTGATCATGGATCTGTTCCTGTGTGAAAACGTAGGAATTGTACTTTTTGACTCTGTTTTAAATGGTCCGGCACATAATAGGTACAGCCAGAGTAGATACATTGGCAATAATGCCGATCAAATTCCTGTCTTCATGAGTTGTAAGGTTTGAGCAGCCAGTGGCTAGAAGTTGAGATAAGAATGGAAGCTTCAGTGCCTCACAGTTCTCTCTTTTTCCCCAGGTTCACCCACTGTACATGTGTGATGCCAGTGCTTTGGAAAAGGCTTTTAATGTGACAAAGTGCATGGTACCTGAACACTTTGAGAAAACCATCTTCCTCAGTGCCATGTACACCTTCACCATAATCACCATACTTCTCTGTATTGCCGAGATATTTGAAATACTCTGCCGACGACTGGGCTATCTCAACAATCAGTGACACAAGTGCACAGATAAAATGACTTGTGGTAAACCTGTATGACACCTTATCTGCCAGTTATACCGGGCTCCTGCCGGCTACGGCTGGACCTTTATAAAACAGGGAGCGAACAGAAGACCAAAACCTCACCTGTGGTCAATCGTGAGTAAGTGGCACTAAGAAATTTGAGACAGTCCAACAATGTTAGAGCTGGCAAGTCTGAAATAACTTCCAGAGTTTAACCATAACTATAGAGTGATGATCCCTGGTTGTATATCAGATATCAGTGGGTCTGTACTGGTTGTGTCCAAAGGTGTTGTGTGGCCAATAGTTACCTCTTACTGAACACTTGGGGATGGACTAGAAAGACTTTTGGTTTTCGTTTTTTTTCCTACAAGACATGGCTGAATGACAGACTTCATGGTGCTACTAAAAACTCTTTCCAGATGGATTACAGCCCAATGTCAAACACCTCAAAGGCCCATAACAATCTTTTCTTGGAGTTGTACCTCAGATCTGACTACACAGAAGAAACCCCAGAAGTATTAGCTGCACACATTTTTTCTAAAGCGCTTTGAGTGCTCAGATGAGTAGAAAAGCGCTATATAAGAACCAGTCCATTTACCATTTACCATTTAAAGGGCCTAACATGCACTAAATGCATCATGGTTCATCGAGCCAACTTGATGCATCCTCTGTGGACTCTGTTCACTTATGGAGTGCCAACCTAAACAGTTCTTCTTACGGTGCAAAAAGATCTGACTGGAAGGCGTAATGTCTTCATGTAATGTAACTGTTAACAATGCAATTAACTGAAGAGCTAGTCACATTATTCTGTATAAAGTGCAGATGAACGTAACTGTCTAGCTTGCCTTTCAGGTGGCAACCACCAAACGTGACAGGCACATCGCAGAGCTGGCCACAGATTGTCACTCATGCCATGCATAAGAAACTGTCATCCAGTAACCTTACCCATGGGCGAGTGAATTGCAGGTGCCATTGCTTCTGACACTTGTATGTGTGACAGTTATCGCTTACAATGTGTGTCTGATGTTGCTCAAGGTCTGTTTTGACCTTCACTTCAATCAACACAAGCGCCACAACTTTGTTGTCATTTCATATAGGATGGTAGTTCTTAAACAACTTGATCATCAAGCTCATGTGCTGGTTGAGCCTAAACATATGCTTGAGTTTACCTCAGTGAGATTAAAAGGCATCTTCAGACCACCGATGCGTCTTACCAAAGATGCCATTGCTAAAATGGTTGCTATGTAGTGTTTTACTCTTCAAGGTAAAGATCTGCCCAAAGATGCAACTTATTATGAAATGGGTTTGATGCAATGAACTACGAAAAGGAAAACACCTTGTAATGTATATTTTAAAAAAACTTTATCAAAATCTATCACCTGAAAAATCTGAGTTAAAAAGTTACAATTACATTTGGCTGTAAAAATGTGTTGAAATGAAAAATTTTCAGTTATATAGTAGTACTAAAGTTGTAATGGTTTTGAAATTTCTGAAACAAAGCATCAAGCTCCATTTAGAACATTCATATGTTAATTTTTTGTTAATAGGTATTTAATAAAATCCTACTGGCAGATTTGTTGAAATCCAAGCTGGAGAAGGTTCAAGCCATTCATGGTTCTGAACGTTCTGGGACACCAGAAGAGGTGTCCTCAGTCCCCCGCCTTTGCTTCACCCTTTTTTCTTTGCTTGAAGTATTAATACTTTCTGTAATATTTTCCTTTGGTGTCATTGTCCATGTATTTTGAAAAAGATTACCTCTCATGTTTTGTAATGTTTTATTTTTAATCAGACATCCATCCAACTTTTGTTATGAAGTTTTCAGCAATCTGTTCATCATCTCAGGTACAAAATTGCATTACACGACAAAAGTGGATCAAACGCTCTTTCCGAACCCTTTTAAACCCTTAACCCTTTTCCTCTCTCTGTGTCATCACTCCAGTTGCAGGATTTAGAAGGGTTTGAACCAGGTATGTGACTCCTGTGATTTGGGTTTGTCTGCGTTCTGGTATCTGTGACTGGACGATGGTTTTAAATTTTGCCTCTAAAAGTTCTGTCACCAAGACTAAGGCCTGGTTTGCATGAAATTAACAACTGCAGATGAATTTGGCAGGATAAAAGGTTTCGAGGTGGTGCAAATAATGAACAAATCCAGGAATCTCACTGGATAAAATGGGATAAAACTAATTTAAGTCCATAGCAGTGGTCTATCTCAGTCTACTGCTCAGGTATACGAGGTGCTATCCAAAAAATTCAGACTAGGGTGATAAAAGTAAAACCCATACCTGATTTAAATGTAGCTACCGTCCCCTTCACAGTAGTCACCTGATACAACGATCCATAGTTTCGGCTCGTTAACCACACCTGGAACACTCCCCGAAAGTCCCATTTTTCTCATTGGTGCTGCTTCCGTTCAATGCTACAAATCGTTTCTTTCTTTTTTTTCACCTGCAAGGTAACACAGACTAGTGTAACATTCACCTAAGCTGCTTCTGGCACCTGTTGCATGTTAAGAAAAGAACTTCTGAGGGAGAAGTCCGTTTCTTTTACTAGACTGTACACATTTACTTTCTGGTTACCAGACAAGCTGGCTAGTTTACTTGCAGTTAGCAATGCAGCTACCTTAAACAGCTCATGCTTCTTTGTCCACTAGCTAGCAAGTTGCCAGAGCACATCACATTTCTATAGGTTTTAAGCCTCTTTTCATTTAGTGGGCTAGTTTCAGTCCTTGTGAAAGGTACTGTTTATAAGGTTGGGGAAATCTGTAGTCAGTTGAAACTGAAGAAGTCACCTGGATGAGTGGCGCAATGTTTCTCCCACTGAAAACGCTATGTTCAGATGAACAGAATCAACTTTTGGGGGTTTTAAACCTCTAGTAATTTCAGAGGGTTGTGTCAATCTTTCTGGTGTGACCAGGCTAACAGGTTAGTTTCATGCTATCACCTGTAATTTAGAAAAACAAACCCAGGACATTTAAAATCCACAAGAAGAAAATTTTTGCTCAGGTTGGCCAAAGTTCAGCGTTCACTTGTTAGCTTTTACCATAAGCTAATTTGGCAGGGTCAAACCTCGGGGCTAGTCTTGGTTAAGAGCTTAATCAAATTTGTACATGAAGCTGTGTTTATCTGTCTTTGAATGATTAACTTAGAAGAACTTGGAAAGCAGAGCTTGTTGTATTTTTGCAAGGCTGATTCACTGATAATTAACAGAACTGGAGAGATTGGCAATATTGGGGGGTATATGTGATATTAAACATATAATCTAGTTATTAAAAAGGTGGCCACAAATTCTCAGCTTGTTCTTTTAATGAACTCATGTAAAAGAAGTCAAAGCGTCAGCATAAAGTAGGGAGGTATATGGGTTATGCAGCACCACTGTAAGCTAATTTACTTCTTTTGGCCACTAGAATCAGGGTCATTTGTGGAAATTCAGGTATGGCACACAGAGTACACAACAATGCAAATTCATCTTTATTTTTTTATACATCTTTGATTTTTACCAGTGATGTTATGTTAGTTGTTAAAACTGAGTTGAGGTTTAATACATTTTTGACCACTGTTTGTCTCTATATGAAAATATTTTGTCAAAGAGGCAAAGTTTACAACCAGTGCATCCATATTAAAACAGAAATCTGTTTGCTACAGTTTACTGAAGGTGACCAGTAAATTCTGACTTGTTTTGTCTTGAGATGATTATTAAAAAGTCCTACAATTGTCTTTGTTTCATTGTTGATTGACTTGACTACAGAGTACTACAGACTACGGTATTTATAGAGAAAAGTGTGTATATATAAGGGGAATATACAGGGAGTGCAGAATTATTAGGCAAGTTGTATTTGTGAGGAATAATTTTATTATTGAACAACAACCATGTTCTCAATGAACCCAAAAAACTCATT